GACCTTTCATTGGACCGCCTGCGCCGATAGCTCGGCAAGAAGCATTATCTGATTTCCAGTATTATCGAAATGACACAGATGGGTGCCATAACAATGGGTCCAGTCATGGCAACAAATGGAGTCTATTGCTACCGTACCTTCCACCTGCATATGTTTTAAGACTTTCGGAATACGAATAGACATCAGATCTGCTGCTGATCAAAAGCCATCCTCGTGAGTTTCGCAAACATAGTCGAATGAATTAGCCTATATTAAAATAATACTAGTAGGAAATTAGGATTGGCTGATGTTTTATTTTGCATCCATTGCTATTATTTTTTATATTTTTATAGTTCATCTTCGAACTTATTGGTTAGGAGTCGTACATCCCATCTTCGAACTTATTGATTGTTCCCATTCAAAGTTTGTTTTATTGAAGGTCACACGACTTTTTGAGTGTCGTCGTCATGACTAGTATTATTTCGAGCACTGATCCATCCATCCATCCATCCTACAGTATCTTCCTCTCATTTTTCACCCATGATTTCATTGATATATATGTCCTCCTGAACTTACGCGACCACCTACTGCAATGTTTTGCTGCAGCAGTACCCCTGTAGGCCGAACTCCCAAAGATCGAGTTATTGGCCTTCATGTTGCAGGAGGGTCAAACGGTAGAGGTAGATGAACATATCATGAGTCGCTCTTTTTTTCTTTTGTTTTCAAAAGCTCTCTTTTTTAGAAGGATCCGTAGTATCCTTCCGGAAGGAAATGTTGGCGAATAGGTTGCAAAGGTCGACGACGGAAGGGTCCTTGGACTTGTCGCAACTGGCTTGATACCTAGCATAAGCATCCGCAGAACAGAGTATGACCGATGGTGTCATTTTCTTCCTCAAATCAGTCATGGACAAACAGGGTGTCTCCAAGACAATGGATAAATCTTCCATGGAGACGAGCCCTCCATCGATGACACTGCTGGCATAGATGATAGTAGTCACAGTGGCGACGAGGAGTAGGGCTATGACCATGCCACCAAAAGTGGTCGAGGAGTCCAATACTACCTCCATTGCTGCAATCGATTGAGCGTCCTCAAAAGATAGCAACGGTGGAACTGGTGTTGGGACGAATGGGTCCTTGGTGGTGTAGGATTCCACTCCGTCGAAAACATCTCTGACAATGAATTCAGGGTCAAGTAAGCTTGGCCAAGCTGGAGCTTCCGCAAGCAGTAGGTCAATGGCAACATATTCTAGCTTCTTGTAGATTCGTTGGTACTCGACTTGGAACTCTTGGTTGTATGCTTCGAACTTCGGGATGAAGAGTTCGATCTTGGAAAACATGGCAGTAGACACTTCTTGGATGCATGCTTCTGTGGAAGACATGACGGACTCGTAGTCAATGGGTTGGTGGAATTCTTCGTACTCGAAGATGGTAGACATGGCATTAGTGATTGCTTGGGTGAAGGCTTCGTACTTCTCGCTGAAGTCTTGTGCGAAAGCCTTGATCGATTCGTAGTTGATCGATTGCTTGCATGCGTTGTACTCCATACTGAAGAACTCGAAGATGGCAGACATGGCATCAGTGAATGCTTCGGCGAAGGCTTCGTACTTCTTGTTGAAGTCTTGTGCGAAAGCCTTGACCAATTCGTAGTCAATAGACATGATAAACTCCGCAAGGGAGAAAGAAGGAACACCAGTGGATTCCATTTCCACGGTGGTTCCAACAAAGTCAACAGTGGAAACAATGTCTTCGTTTGCCAAACTGTAGACTTGAATGGATGGACGAGTGTAGTTTGCACTCATCAAGGAAGGCATGGCCATTGGCTGCATGGCCAAAAGAAGAAAGATCATGATGATGGATCGAAGAGTCAACATGGTGGAAATGTTTCGTTTTGTTTGTTGTTGTTGTTGTTGTTGTTCTTTGAAAGGACTGAGTCGATGCAATTTGATCGAATGTCAAAAATATGAGCAGATTCTATTGTGAAATGAAGTTGCTCTGCTGAAGCAAGAAACGTCTCGACTTTGGAAAGATGTACCAAGCTCAGTAGAAAGTCTAGTGATGACAACCGTTTCAAACGGAATCGAAAAGTTGTGAGCATAGTTTTTTTCCACGGTTTCAGCTCAACGGCAACGTGTGTTCGAAACCGATTTTCTTTTCCGTCTTCACGGTTAATGGTGAAAGAAGCATTGGTGCCTAGCATATCATGGATTTTGTTCTCCATGGTCGCATTGTTGGTGTCGCACCATGGCTGTACTATTAGTCATTGCTATCGCCATTGTCTTTTATCAAAAGGTTTTCAACGAGGAAAATTTTAAAAAAACGCTGCGAAAAAAACTCCCATTTGCACGCGTGGCGCGTCAATGCGATCTGTCCAAGGACTGTCTTATTCGTGAATGAATGGAGACGGAATAAATGAAGCTATCTACGGTACCCTATACCAACTAAATCGCAATCATACCTACGCAAATGTATCTCCTTCCGTTATCATCAACATACCAACCCCAATGTTTCCATTCACAGCATTCCAGCGTATTGCAATGCATATTTTGAATTTTTGTTTGAATAATTGACACACATTACTTTAATGATACTAGAACTGCCTCGACATGGGTGCCCGGGAGTTGCGGGTTGGCACTTGTTCCATTGTAGTTCCTGCAGATCGGTGGAAGTAGGCGCTTTGATCGCGAGGCCGTCGCCACGCTGACTGACAAAATTCGTTGCATACATGATGCGCGAAAAAGCTGCTAATCCCATTTGATCCAAGATCGGTAGGTCCATACTCCCGTGTGGTGGACATGACTACAGGATCTGTCAGCACCACTCCGTCAGTGTAAACGCCACCTTGTAGATCGCACAAAAGCTTCTGTCCATTCGAAATGTGGTAAGTAAAGTGCGAGAGAGCTTGCATCACCCTAGGCCAAGGTAGGCTGTCGTCCGCCCAACCAGTGTTGGAGTTGAACTTTTGATAATTGGTAATGAAAGGCTCCTGTAGAACTTTACGCCCAGCGAAATCTTGTCGGGTGCATTGATTGAAGCTCCATACCTCAGGAAGGTTGACTTTGACAATTTTGTTAATGCATCCTTTTGAATTGAACTTGGTAATCAGGAAGATTGCTTCTTTCGAGGCTGCAATGTCTGTGTCGTAGAAGTGAGATTCCATCACCCCTCCAGTTTTGAACCATTTGCATACACATGCTTCACCAGCACGGTTTCCTTCGGTGTATACACCCTTTGCTACCCAACGAAAGCTTCCCGAGGCGAACGGGTTGTCGAGAGCTTGATTTTCGAAGCTGGCTCTGCTGGCGTTGTTCAGCCTCGCCGTCTGCGAAGCATCGATAGTTGCATTCGTGCTGGAGCTATTACTGCCTCCACGTCCATGGACGCAGCCCGAGCAACGAGATACCCCGTCTCCTTTGGACCATTGCGTTTTGGAGTAGGCTGACTTATCGAAGTTACGTCCACATGAAGCGCAATAACGAGGCATCTCCAGTCAGTCAACAATTCGATGAATATATATCGCGGGAAATGGCTTTCTATGGGCAGTGTAGCAACGATACCGTACGGCTTTTGCAATGATTCTTCGTGCTTCAGGAGGTACTGTAGGATATGGCGTTTTCAAACAACAAAATGCCAGCGTGCTGTGATATATCATCAGTAGCGAACATCATACGTACAGTAAATATTCCTTGGGCAGATAGAGATCGAGTAGGATATATAATTCCAATTTGTGCGCATGCGTGAATCAAACTACTTGAATGAATCATGATCTACGCCTCACAAAATCGCGTTCTAATCATCATCATCATCATCATCATCATCACGTACCACACCACTGCTGTTCAGTGACAACACCAGCAACTGAAGATACCACGTAGACCATATGTCAAACGGGATGTACCGTGCATAGAACAAAAATAGTGTGTGAAGTGGGCGCCCACTTCACAACAACAACAACAACAACAGAGCGAGTATTCTTGATATTATTTCTATTTGTACTTCAAGGAGAACTCCTCATGATGCCGACGAATGGCACTGACAGCATTCGACAAGTCTTCCTCCTGTGGCAAGAACGTTGTACGGAAACCGAACCGTCCCTTTCGTTGTCCAAAACCAGACGCTGGAACGACGCAAACTCCCGTTCGTTCCAAGAGAGAAAGCGCATAGAATGTATCTGGGGGCAATCCTAGTTTCGCGGCAGCTTCAATGGCACGATCGGGGACTTGAACCGAAGGAAAACAGTACATGGCCCCTTGTGCTGGTTGACAAGACATTCCCTCGACGGCATTGAGCCCAGCCTCAACAATCTTGGAACGTCGTTTGAGAGATTCGAAAATCAAAGACTTTTCGAGTTCGTGGCTTTCATACGACTCGTCTCCCTTTTCGGGGCCTCGCGCCATCAAACTGATCATGATCTGACCAGATATTGATGAACAAAGGCCGGATGAAGCAAGCTTGTATAGGTGATCTTTTACGGTTTGGTCGAAACCGACGAGTTCCATGTATCCTCCACGACGACCGCATTCTCCAAAGACTCCTTTGGACGCTGAATGAAACGAGACCAATTGAAGTCTGTCGTCTTCTAATAGACCGCAGTCATAGGCAGCGCGCTTGGCACTGTAAAATGGTGTATCGTCGTAAACATTTTCTTGGTATACTTCATCTGACATGAGCACCAAATCATTGGCGGCACAGAATCTGACAACATCTTGTACTCCCTCCTTTGACAACACTGTAAATGTTATAAAAAAGAGAAATTGCATCAGAATTCAGATTTTCGACGAGCCAATAACAACACTTCCAGCCAACAATGCAACATACCTTGTCCAGTTGGGTTTCCAGGATTGATAAGGACCAACCCAACCACATTGACGCCTGCTTCTTGTGCAGCAGTCAAGGATCGTTCTAGTTCCCGAATATTAATCTCCCAGCATCGGTCCTCGTCCAAATAATATGGAACCTTCTGGCCATTGTGCAGGTCCAACAAGGCACTGTAGATTGGATATTGCGGAATAGGAATCATCATTCCACAGGATGGATCTGCAATGAGAGCCTTCAAGACATTTTCAATGCCAGCGCTCGCTCCATTCGTCAAATAAATATCTTCTGGATCTGAAGCGACGCCGTCGTCTCGCTTTTTGATAAAGGCAGCCACATCGTCCCGGAAAATCTTGGCTCCCTTGCTATGTGAATACGCCCCCGACCCACTGCCCAAACCAAGCTTGATTTCCTTGGCACGCTTGACAGCATCTTTGGGGTACATTTTCAAGACATCTGGGTGATCCACTCCAACTTCATTGGGAAGATCCACCAACGACAAGACTTGACGTGGCCAGGTCAACTCTTTTTGACCGACCGATTGAGGATTTCCAATGTTGGTGTAGAGGATCTTTTCAAAGTCAAAATCTTCACTGCCGGGCGCATGTGCCGTCAGATCGGCTTGGATCTTATCAGCCGCAATGACGACTTGACCACGAACGGCATATTCCATACGCTTGAGCGACGATGACATTGTGTCTAAGGTAAGCCTTCCGTCAACCCCTAATGTTGAGGTCGTCAACACTAGTGCTGATAACAGTAATGCTGAAACAATCGGCATGATGCGAGTGTGTGTGTTTGCTTAGTGTGCTGTCGTGCAATGAGATCGGAAGATTTTGTGTTTGTGTGTAGTGTGTGTGGATGGAATGCAATTGCAGACAAGAAGTGTAAAGGTTCGTGTTCTGATTATTGCTGATTGATTCGTGAGACATCGGATTTCGTTGATTTGATGGTCGTCGCTTCGGGCGAACTTTTTAGTGTTCTCATCGAACATATGTTCGTTTCGTCACGTGCGCACAAACGATGATACATACCGGTACACGGTACAACCTTCTCCTCTACGTTTTAAAATCTTTAGAAGAACACAAACCTTAAAGTCGTTATAACTGCAAGCAGTCCACAAAGAATAGGATTGATATTCAAAATTTCGGAAATGTAGGAGACGGGCATTGAAGTAAGAGTAGGGTGGAGGACGAGAGGTAGAAATAAGAAGAAGAGGATCGCTCCTGGCTGTTCCATCATGACTTGTACTCCTAAAGCATAGGTTGTTCAGTTCTTTAGCCTTATCATTAGTCGTACTGGAGGAATTTCAAGTCAATTTTTATTCTCATTCGAAACTGGTGTCTACTGGTAATGAAGCATGAAGGGTTGTTACTGTGGTACCAACTAGCAGGTACCGTTCTGGTACAATCACCGCAAGTTCCAGTTGGAAGTTCGTCTGGTACAGAAACAGCTTCTACTTTGATCTTCGACCTCTTCGAGTGTCTACAGAATGTACCGGTACTGATGAAGCTGAAACAAAAATGAATCAAGAAGAATCTACATATAGTGATGCTCGCTATCATCATCAGTGGATACATCAAGAAGAATGAATCTGTGTGGATAGCAGCTCTTTATCCTGCTTGAATGAAAATGGAACCGAAACCAACCACGAGTACGCAAGATCGACAGGCCGATGATCCCATAATGGACACACAGAAGGACGAAGTGATTCGGTATGGTTGTGCCGATCCACCAGATCCATCCTCGGACTTTTCCGGCCGTGGAGGCACTTGGTACTGCGAGAATTGTAGCACTTCCAAGCTACTTGCCCCGCATTCGAAACAATGGACCTGTAGTCAGTGCAAGAAAATTATGTACACTCGACCACCGGACGAATGCCCCCTTGACACATTCATGCCATGTTGTTGTTGGGATAAGATTCTTGGGGGTGGTGGACGGTGAGGATGAAGCAATGAAGCATTCATTCTACTGAATTAGAACTGTAGATTATTATCAAGATTATAGTAACGTAGCCGTGCCATTGCAATTCTAGTTATTACGAATTATAATGATTCGTAACCTTCCTCTTCGACCAACTGAATGGACTGTTGTTCCACAGATGCCACTCGACAAAGTGAATGGATCGGAATATTATATCCACTTAGCGATTGCCGTCCGCTCAAGTAGGCTTTTTCCAATAAAACGCCGACGCCTACAGCTGTGGCACCGGCATCCGAAATAATGGTCAACAGAGCCTCTTGAGTGGCCCCACTGCTCAAAAAATCGTCCACCACCAAAATACGGTCGCCTGGATCGATGTGAGACGTGCTCACGAGCAATTCACGGTTGATTCCGACCGTTTTACTAGAATAAGTAGCCTTGTAGGTATCTGCCATGACAACGTTTCGTTCCTTGCGGGCATACACCACTGGGACCTGAAGGTATTTGGCCATTGGCAAGGCAATCACCAAACCGGTCGTGGCAACAGTCAAGATCTTGGTGGGTTTACAATCCATGAATCGAGTGGACTGTAGGGTGTGATTTGGAAATCACAAGAATGAGATGCATGCCTAGATTGATGATACATCCAACATGAATTACGAAAATCTTTCACTTACCAACTCCTTGGCACAGTCGTCCATGAGGTTCACATCCACTTGGGAGTCCATGAAAGCAGAAACGTCAATGATCTTGTTTGGTAGAACCTTACCATCCCGGAGGACCCTGTCGCGGAGTTTGACACTTGCAGGGCCCAATGAACCCCCGAGGACATCGTCCATATGTTGCCGCAAGTACTTTTGGTATTCCAAACCCTGCACAAATCAAGAAAGCAAATAATTAGCAAGGAGAGAGGAGATACAATTGTCTGGGAATAGGTCCATTCTTCAAAATATCAAGTTGATTCTTACATGAGTCAGCTTCAACATATCGGTCATGTCGTGAATCGCTTTTGACAAGGGTATGTCTGTCCGAAGTGAATTCGAAAAGTGCAAATCGACATCGCACACAGCGTGCTCAAAGATCTCCATTTCTCCATCGTAATAGCACACACAAGATGAAAATCGAGTAACTCGAGTGGGTTCTGACACAGGTCTCATAGCATCACAAATGTAGTCGACGTGCATTCCAATATCACAGATGCGATACCCAGAGAGGACTCTTGGATTGCTGGATCTTGGAGGAGGTGTGTTCGTTGGAACTGTAACACTGCCTTTGGTCTTGGGAATAGGGGACGTTGGAGGTACGGGTTCGATTTCGAAAGATGTATGACACGACACTGTGGGTAGTCCTGTGACTTCGTATACCTTACGGGCCTTGAATGAGGCGACATCCTCGACGGTATACAGGCCATCCTCTGGGCGCGTGCTTTCAAAATCTCCGAAATTATCTGCAAACTCGACTCCATATTCCCTCATGAGGCCAACAATGTTTCTAAAAACCCCATTGTCGAAAGCAGTGACCCAGAGTCGATCAAAGCCTTGGCTTCTGTTGGGGTCCCGTGAAAAGAAGGCTTTCGCTCTGTCGGACCGTCGAGCTCGCTCCAACCGCCGACTACTGAGCTGGCAGTCTTTCATTCGATCCCAGAACTCTGCATCCAACCTTGCCTGTTCCTCTGGATCCGCCGGTTCGTCCAAATCCAAATAAAATTCGGAACCTAGCGAATAAGTGAGGCAGAGACTTGACAAAACAAGAACAGCAAAGATCACGCTGTGGCTGCTTAACCTTCATAATATGAAACAAAATATAACTTACCGGGTTCTGGTATGGGGATTTTGCGACCTCCAACAATTTCACTCTTTTCAGATTCGTCCATTCCATACATATCCCACGGTTCCCCATTGTTGTCATCAGCACCAAACCTGTCATCTCGATTGTCACCATAATCATCTGGCAGTGCCTCCAGTTGGTCTAATAATAATTCAGTTTCTTCATCAATTGAAAGTTCATCTTCCTCTCGTTCTGCTTCGAAGCTCATCATACGTTCTTGTAAGGTCTTATCCAGCCAGTTGTCATCCACTTGGAAGAGTTCATATTCAGAGAGTGTCGCATCAGCAGCCTTTTGTTCTTCCAGAGAAGCTGGTTTGGACCTTGGTTCCAGGGCTGCAAGATCTTCTCCACTAGTTCCGCCGTTTCCATAACCACCCAAACCCCCAAAACCACCACCTGAAGCAGCACCACTGTTGGGAGAAAAGGTCGAGGCACCACTATTTGCTGTTCGTGAGGGTGCTGCTGGTGGAGCATTCAGGGCGTCAACGCTACTTGGACCCATCATGTCACCTTGGGGAATTGAGGGGGAGGAAGCACTCATTGCAGCAGCGATATAAGGATCTTGATTTTGACCAGCTAGATTCGTCAATCGTTGTCGTTCCATTTCATTCCAAAATACCTCGTTCGGGGTAGCATCATCGTCGACCGATTCGTACCATGAGTTTTGGTCATCCGATCGCTTGTTGCTGCGATTTTTCTTTGCGTACAACCGAATTGCTTCCGCATTTGTGTAGGACGGTATTGATGACGTTTGCTGGTGCCTGAAATCAGTTGGGACCCAGGCATAACAAGAGTTGGACTGATTTGAAATACACAACAATGCGAGGCAAACTATGCATGTGGGTATTCTGGTAATGGGCCTCAATATATATGCCTGTATCCTATCTATCAGATAGCTATATGTTCTGGTAACCATATTGGAAATATCTTCCCTGGGCATAGTAGTTTGATATACTTGTACGGTACCAGGTAGGCAACAATCAATCAGTTTTCATTTGCTGATGTTTGATGGCCATATGATGTCAGTTGTCGTTGGTCACGTGTGCGACTGACGGACCACATGAATCTTCGGAATAAAATCGTACCGACAGTCAACAGTAACATTTCAAGGATGAGTAAGTCTTTCATATTATCTTGACACGGTAAAGCACGGGCAGATGCACAGCAAAATAATCGCATGTTTATAGTATTGATACCAAAACAACAAGTCATCGGTAGCTAGTAGGCAGCTACTAGTAGAGTTGGTGGATCCTGGCGATGGTCATTGCAATGCCTTGGCCCCGCCGCATTACAACATCTTTCCTGGTGCTCTCTGTTGTATTCTAGACTAGTGTATCAAATTATTAGAACAGTAATAAGAGCAGTCCATAGATGTCTGTTTTATGAAATCTTCCACTTCTACCACAACCAAACGAATCAATCTGGTGTCGATGGACGTACGGTACGTTGGACGTGTACGCGTGTACCGGCCCCAATATCACGAACGGTGCTTCAACCCAAATTTTATGTTCTACGTTCAACGGTACCAGTACCGGTACTGGTACTCGTACTGAAGAAGACACACGGAAACCTACCCCCCGCCGAGAGCCGATTGCAAAAGGAGCGGCAACATTGATCGAACGGGGACAACCGGCGAAGCAACAACCGCAACCACGTGAGGGGAATAAGAAGAAGGGGGATGAGAGGCATAACCCTCCAACAAGAGGCTTATGAACCCTCCAGTAATACCTCTTCCTGATGAAATCATTCCAGGTCTTTGGTTGGGAAGCAAGCATGTCCGAATCGATTTGAAAGATTATATATCAACCTGTTTCACGCATGTTGTCGATGCTTCCAACAGGCAGCTTCCAGAATTGTCTTCGTCCATCCCTGTCTTTCATGTCAAGTTGACTGATTCAGCTTTTTCTCAGCTGCCATTGGAAGAAGTTTCAGATTTTATTCACTCAGCGCTAAAGTCTGACAGACATGCAGTTGTTGCAAAGGATGAAACGCAGCAACACGACACTGGCGTTCCTACATCAATAACGAAAAAGGCGAATGTATTAGTCCATTGCAATCAGGGAGTCTCCAGATCAGCAGCTTTGGTCATGGCATATCTGATCAAAACACATGGATTCTCTCTGAAGGAAGCCTTCTTTCACGTGCAGAGTAAGCGAGAGGTTGCCCAGCCGAATACTGGTTTTATGAAACAACTGATAGAATTTGAACGAACGCATCACAATGGAGAGACGACGCTGTACCTAGGGTTTGGTGGCACGCTTCAGTGGAAGAAGGGTTAGCAGATGCTATTGGAATTTATCTATATAATTCATTTAGATGCACGGGCTTAGGGTTTGTTGGCGATCTAATCTTCACCGCGGTGCTATCCTGATTCTAAAGCAGTATGTTGACAAAGATAAACACTGAGTTCCCGTGGCTCTAAACTTTTCATACCACGAAACAGAAAAAGACCATCAGGCTAAATTTCAGTGATACCTCACACAATCAAGATCACTCCGTATAAGGCTGCAAACCAGCGGTAACACTGATGGGATACTATGTAGCTACGTACTGTAAAACTGGAGTGATCATTATACATTGTATATTATATCATTAGGCTTATTGGATGATCACGATATGCTGGGTTTCTCCAAACTCGAGTTGCGGGTAGATAGCAAGTACTTCTGTATATCTTGCTCATCCGCCATTCCACGTATCTGAGCCTCCATCGATGATTCCGAGGTTGAAAGATGATAGATTATTCTCATCCTGTCTTCATCATAATGCTCGCCGCGTCGTTGCGTTCTCTGCTCTTTGAATACGCTGAACCATCCATCAAACTTTGCGTCTTTTCTGCTATTTGCGTACACCAGATGCTCTAGACCTCTACTGCACAACGAGCGACCATTTTGTTCTTCGCCCCCGTGCCTTACATTTCTGGCAATACGGTTGCACCTTTTTGCCATCCGACTGTATTCGGCGGGTTGGAACCACAACGATCCCTTCTCCCGAGTCATCATACGCATTGGGCGGATACTTCTCACCACGACAGCAGGGTTGAATGATACACACATTCGTTTTCGTAGTAGCGTCTCGCGCATTGGCAGGCGAAGCATTGTCTCGCGAGTGTAGTGGATGCCCGTTCGGCGCTTGCTTCCTTGTTGTGTCTTCAGACAGCTACGCCGAGAAGTGTTGACCGGAGGCTGCTTCAAGTATTCGCTTCTCTCTGCAATAGCAGCAGTCGTTTCTGGGATGCTTACTCTCATTTGTCGCAAGCTGCTCTCGATAGGAGTGATTTCCACGCCTGCATCCCAGTCGCTGAGACAACTGGATTCAGGAGCGGAACTTAGCGGATCTTCCGACTGATCTGAAGTCTCAGCTTCAGTCTCGGCAATGTCCTCACACTCATAGGGTTTGGTAATCATGGTGCATGGGCTCACAGGTTGGGGCTTGGTCATTTTCAATGTCGTCATCTTCTTTGCAATGATTGAAACTGCTGGCGGTTGGAAATGTGGAAAAGTGGATGAGACCGCAACGACTGACTTGAATTTTTCAAGTGTCGAGCTCTTCTTCATGTTATTGTCGCGCAAATGCAGGAAGCTGTTCTCTCTTGTACAGGTACCAGGTACGCTACTACCGGTATGTGAGAATCCTGTTTTTTGGGGGGCTCTATTTAGAAGAGAGCAAATCCATGTTGAAAAGCTGTTTCATCATATCCCAGTTCTCTCTTGCGACTCCGTTTCATTTAATGACGAAAAAAGAAAGCTGAGAAAATGGCGCGTATGATAGGCTTCTGATCATCTATCGGACATCCAAACAAAGGAACGCAACATGAGACCCGGCATTCAATTGTTTTTAGGAATAATGAAATATGTGGTCTAAAAAGTTTCCACTATGAAAAATTAGACGCCGAAAACATCTTTGGGCTTTTTCAAAGTCTTTTTCACTAATTTTTGCTATTGTTTTTTGTACTTCCATGCGAGAACTTGAACGAAACTTTTTTTAGTGCCACAATTAAAAAAGACACAAATCCCTCTCAAGCTCACAAATCATGCGAAACACGAAATCAACTCACCAACCTATAATACCTACACAAACACACAAGCAAAAACTAGAGCAATCATCAACATGAGCACGCCTCTCGCCAACTTCCTTGCTGATCTGTCCAAAGAGTACCAAAACTCTTTTGTCATCGTTCCCGACAACGCCAGATCAAGAAGAACAAGCACCTCACCAGCAGCGCCACCGTTTTTGACAACACAGCATTTCTCCTCACTCCTCAGTGTTACTTCACTACCACATTCAGGTGAAAACCCACAAAGCGGCGCATTTCCTGTCTGAGCTTTTCAAGAAATATGCGGATTCTTCAATGAAAAGGGATAGTACAACAAAGCGATGACGGCTACACCCCCAGCCGCGAAACAACGAGAAAGATTGTTCTAGCCTTGCTTTTGGGGCAAAACTCAAGATCAAGGCTGGCAAATGTTAATATTTCAGCCATGAAGCGAACCCAAAACTCCGTCTAGTTTCCCACTGAGGAGATGGTGACTAGGATACCGTATCATGGAGCAGAGAAAGGGTTCGACGGTGATTGATTCAAAATCGCATCTACCGCCCACCACCACCACAGGAGAATGAGCTTGCGATCGAAATATAGTTGATATCCAAAATAGAGTATTAAAATACAATATAACCTGATGACAATGTACTATTAAAGTAATAACACATTCACCAATTTGAATGAAGTACGCACAATGATGCTAGTATTGAATCTAACGATATATCACTTTCAGACGATCCGTCGACACTCCTCGTATCATAGTGTACCGGTACAGGTAAATATGATGCCGCACTACAATCGAATAACAGATTCAGAGGTGTACCGGTAGATGCTGATAATGATATTGAATAGTGTTGTTGCTACAAGATTACAAGAAGAGGTCCTCGTCAAGAGTTCGGAAGACAATGTATCAAGCGTTCCATACAGCTTCAACACCCCAATTCCCAAGGGAGTCATGAGGCGCTACGATTTTCTTTTTCCTCGTGTCACCATCCAGCGAAAGTCGTGTTAGATACCTCTGTTCTGTGGGAGGCGGCACTGAAATGCGAGAACAGCAGGTCACAAGACATGTCGTCGCTGTCAACAATATCATGGCCTTGGAATTGGTCGTCGTCATAATTTGAAGACGCATCTTCTCGCTTTCGTTTTACTTCAGCAATATCAATGGTCGAGGCTAGAACAGCATTCAAGTGTTGTCCGAAGTCAGTGCCATTGCCAGTGCCAATTTCTATGTCCATGTCCATGGAGAGTGAGGAGTGAGAGTGATCTTTCGAGTACAACGGTGATAGAATATTTGATGGCAGTCCTCTGGGTCGGGACTGTGATAAATGATCCTTGTTCGACGCTTTGGGCCCGATAGGGCGAGGCTCCAAAAATGGATCATCTAACGGATCGAAGAATGAAACAGGAATAGAAGGATAGGAACAAGACGAGCTTGCAACATCCGAAGAAGAATATGAAAGCTCCAGAAAGGACAATAGAGCTTCGTCTGAAGCGGTAGAGTTGCCGCTGTCCCTGCGAGTCTTGTCGTTTGCGGGAGTGAAGATCATTGTGGCTTGGAGAGAAGTTCTGTTCCGGTACTCAACTCGATGTCGTTTTAGAAATATAATAATTGTGGGTTCATTGTTCGTTGATGATTGATTGATTCAAGCATTTGAGGTCTGAGTTCTCGTTGCGCTTTGGCATAGAACGTATTCTGCAAATATTGAAAGCCCGTCGAAAAGTTCGGTACCTCTGCTGACTAAGCTCGATTTTTCTACGCGATCAGAAATATATATAATGGTGATTCTGTGTTCCGCATCTTGTGATAAATAACAAGAGAATCAAGATAGCCCTTCTAGCTGCTTGTTTCGCTCCTCACTAGAATTTGTTACTCAGCTTATTGAAGAATTTAATCGTAGTTCTCGTTGTCATAGTCAGATATTGAAGGAGGTCAAGAACAAAGAATTGGGCCTTTTCTCTGATTCTTATTTATTTTTTAGTTATATATCGATACGATTTCTAGAGAAGTCATAACGAAAAACCAAGAAGCAAAAATTTAACAACACCGATTTTTTTATTTTAAAAAAAGTCACAAGAGAAACCAATTTGAAAGTGGCGCGTGTGTCAATTACTTACAGTATTTTGGACAGAGTTTGGTGGTTTTGTAATTCAACAGGAAACTTGACAACGTCGGCAAATAGAGATTCAAAACCACAGTCCTGTCCAAGGTCCAATGGCCCTTGCGCTACAATATCATGAACGCCGAAGAGACTGGGGTTTTGTTCACCTCATCCAAATACTTGCAATTTTGGAGAAACCCTGCTGATTCGTCATGTGATTCAGTTTGCTCGTTTGCTCAAAGTTAAATGGTGACATTATTACTTCCTTGAAGTTAGGCCAATGTGGTATCCAGAGCAACCTCCTAGCCTCAAAAGCCTGCTCACAAGGATACTAGCCACGCATTGTTGTATGTCGAGATTCGTTCGTTCGTTCATCCTAATTGATAGGCCAATGTGGTATCCAGAGCAACCTCCTAGCCTCAAAAGCCTGCTCACAAGGATATTAGCCACGCATTGTTGTATGTCGAGATTCGTTCGTTCGTTCATCCTAATTGACAGAAATATGGTGGGCAAGATGGAACGCCGTCGTCAAGGCACCCGAGCGATTACTGTAGTTACTGTACAATAATGGACGAGGAGGCTGATCGATATGGTACGCAGTGTGTACAACATTCTGCCTGGAAACTGACGACCGTCAGTTTTGAGCCAGCAGGACCAGTTAAAGTAGGCTCTTGCGAACACTGCATAGCTTGCAGAGCACATTGAGAATACCAGTACCGGTAGGGTACGCAAGAGTTGTGAAGGCACTGAAAACGTTCGAATGCCCAATTAAAGAGTTCGAATGCCCAATTCGAAGGAGCCGGGAAGTAGGAACACCATTGTTTTACAGGCAGTGATTGGAAGCAATGAGTTCGAAAGTCTGGTTCTTTTTGTGACATCGTTATATATGCGGTGCTGACACATTCTATGTTCTGTGGCTGGAAATAACCAGCATAATATCTGCCGTGATTAGCTTGGTATTTGTACATAAAGCCAATGATGACCACGTCCGGTAGCGCAGAAGTCGAACCGCTTCGTTTTCTATCAATTAGGGAATTTCGATAAGTAGAATTATCAAGAAGAATTGTCATGGAGTTCCCGTCCAATTTCCAGTGATTTGAGTCACAACGATTTCTTTCAGCTCTGTCTAAACCCACATTATCTTCCCACAAATCCAGAAAACAAAAGAAAGTAACATGAGCAACCCCTTATCAAGCTTCCTCGAAAAATTGCTCAAGGACTATGAAGAGCCACCGGTCGTCGTGACCGATAACGCAAGGTCAAAGAGCATCTCACCCTCAAGAAGATCCACAAGAAGTTTGACAAGTATTGTGACCCGAGCATCACAGTCAAACGGTCTTCCAGACACGTTGCCACTGCGGTAGAGGTGAATGAATGACTCGCAAAAAGGCGCGACATCAGGGACAGTGACGGTACGAGATAACCCCAAAGCGATGCCAAACTGGAGGAGCCAAGCTAGCCAACAACGGACCAAGCAACTCCATGCATCACTACCGACGATGGAATAAAAAACGCCATGCAGCAATCGATGCATGATTGATGTGTAAAGCTAGAGCCAATTTTGTCAACAATATCTAGTCGACTTCGTCCCAAAAGGTCTTCCAACCATTTCCTTTCTCATAGCCACAGCCGTGGATTATCGAAATTAATTTTTGGATAGTCCGTATTCTTCGACGAACTTGAGCTCTGTTGTTGCTGCTGCTCATCCAAAAGTGCTTCAATTTCGTTTTCCGGTAATCCCTGTTTGACTAGGAACTCCTCGAGTTCTCCCAAGTCCATCATACTTCCTTGATCTTCTTCCGTTTCGCGTTGCTTTGACATTTCTGTCAAGGTAGCCTTGTCTTCCTCGTCGATTCGAAAGGTAAATGCTTCTCGCAGTTCTTGAATGTGTACCTTCCACTTCCTAGAGGATGTGAAATCCATGTCGTCCCAGATTTGTCCCTTTGGTGCTGGTATCACCACGCTCGAAACATCATCCAATTCCAATGTCCACCTCAGTACAAGAGCTTTGAGCGAGACCCCGTATCTGGAAGACATTTCTTGCAAGACTTCCATGACATTGGTATCAAATGTTTCCCAGATCAGCGTGGAATCATATATTTCTTTCCCTTCTTCGTCCCTAGTACTGGCAATGCCGTGGAGTTTGGCCCACTTTTGCAATGTCGACTGCCACACTCTTTCTTGTTTCGGCGATGGTGTTTGAATTCGTTCACTGGTGTTGTTGGAAGGTGTCGTCCGTTGATGCTGCTTGTCCTTTTTCTTTTTGGAACTCTTTCGTATTTTGCCATCTCTCGTATTGGCAGCCTCACCAAGGAGAAGACCATCGAGAAATGGATTGGTGATCCATTGGTGTTGGATTGGAGAATTCATGGAATCGGGCGGAAGCAATAGACTCCCTGGTTGCTGCATCAAGGAAACAGAGAATCTACATTCCGACGCTGCCTGGGCGACTAGCTTTGGTGGAAAGTTTTCAAGACCGATGGATCGTATGTAGCCTTCTTCTTGCAATTCGGTCAGAGCGTACAAGACATCCATGTGATATGGTGAGAAACGGTTGTCTGCAATGGAAGGAAGGTAGGAATGAATGAGAAAGAGGCATGGGGTGTGTGAATGAATCAATCAGACCAAAAGTAGACATCAAAACTCAATACGAATAATAAAATTCAAATAACTTACATTGCACCACCAGTGTATCAATAGCATCAGTGCAAGATGACATATGTTCCAGTAGATTGTCCAAAATGTCATGTCGGACACTGTGGAGGGATGTGACTTTGGTAGGCACTTTATACTGGAGTACCCAATGAATCGAGCCTTTGCCAATCAATTTGGTGGGCGTTTGGGCATGAAATCGTTCAATGAATTCAGGCGTCGCTCCATGAAAGGTTTGAAAGCCAGATTCCAGATAGTTTTGGACCACTTTGATTTCGCGTTCATTGTTCGTAATGGGCGCCAAATCGACGGCAATCTCACAGGTGGGCTTGGGGTCCCATATTTCGTCCGCTTCGCATTCGTAGGCTGCCTTTGGTAGCGGACCCCAGAACGGATCCAAGGTCGGAACACAGGGAGGTCGCTCCTTGTATGGATCAATTGTGGAAATGGTCGAACCCCAAAAATCCTTGTACTCGACTTTGGCTTGTTTTCCCTTTTTGGTAGTAATAATTTTAGTGGATGCTGCTGGTGCCATATTGAAGCTATTTTCGTCTACCATGCTTTGCAATCTTGTTGTTGTTGTTGTTGTTGTTGTTGTTGTTGTTTTGAACGTTGCGCTTCTTCTTCTTCTTTTTCTACTACGACTTATTGGGCCGCCGCCGTCCATGAATAAGAAAGCGCAGGGTCTTGTTATGGAAGGATTTGACCTGGTAATGGTATTGCTGCTGCTGCTGCTGCTGCTACTGCAGAATGATATTGAATAGGCAGACGAATCGTCAAGGATGCAAAGACACAGGACAAGATGGAGTCTCCAGGATTGAAGGAACCAAGAAAATGGATTCCGAGCCCTCCTTGTTTCACCATAATGATCATGATAATCTCCTCTGCATTGAAAATTCGACATGCTTCTGGTGCTATTTACGAATTTTTTCATTGTTGTTTTTGAGTATTTCATCCCTTTACTCCTTTATGGGTTGCCGTTCATTGTTTGTTGAAAGAGAAAGTCGTATCTAGTAGTACAGCAGTAGATGTTTGTAGTTGCATGGATTTTCGATTGATGTGAATGAATGATATGAAAAATTCAAAATTGAAAATGCATGGAGGAGAAGGAATGATAGAATCAGTCGGAGGAGTCGATAACCAGGCAGCACGGTACCTAGGGTACCTACCTACCTCATCACTCATCACATCCATGCTATTATTGATCATTCGGTATACTTGCGCGACGCTTCAGCTCTACGCAATATAATAGTTAGATATTGACATGTATATGTATGTATGTTTTTAACATCGTACAAGAGACATGATGAGACTACAAGAAATCTCGTTGGCTTTTAACAATGATATAATGGTCCTGGACGACTGCGCGATAATGAATATCCTCTACGAGACAAGAAGACATGATGCTGAAAACAGTGTATTCGCTTGTACCATGCAAAGGTGTAGGTAATATACAATACAATCTAATACTGTACAATAAAAAAAGTAAACTATGGATATTATACAAACTGTAATAAAAAAATCAACACGTCTTGATTTTCAGATTCTCCATCCACAGTCATACTACTCTTGCCATTGTACCAATCAAACCAACAACAAACTGAGCGTGTGTTTAATATTCATCTTCGGCATCATCTGGAGAATCAGCGCCAACCTCTTCGTAATCCTTTTCAAGGGCAGCAAGATCCTCACGAGCCTCCGAGAATTCACCCTCTTCCATACCTTCACCGACATACCAGTGAACAAAGGCACGCTTGGCGTACATGAGATCAAACTTGTGGTCAATGCGAGACAAGGCTTCGACAATGGCGGTAGTGTTGGCGACCATACAGACGGCGCGGTTGACCTCGGCCAAGTCACCTCCTGGAACAGTGTAGGGCTTGCAAGAGTTGATACCAGTCTTGAAACCAGTAGGACACCAGTCGACAAATTGAATGGTGCGCTTGGTCTTGATGGTGGCAATGGAAGCGTTGACATCCTTAGGGACAACGTCTCCACGGTACATGAGGCAGCATGCCATGTACTTTCCGTGGCGAGGGTCGCACTTGGTCATCATATTGTTGGGCTCAAACACAGAGTTGGTGATTTCGGCAACCGACAACATTTCGTGGAAGGCCTTTTCACGAGAAATGACGGGAGCGTACGAAGTCAACATGAAATGAATTCTGGGGTAGGCCACCAAAGTGGTTTGGAAATCATTCAAATCCACATTGAGGGCACCTTCGAAACGAAGACCAGCAGTCAACGCCGAAGTGACTTGAGCGATGAGTCTGTTCAAGTTCTGGTAAGTGGGACGTTCAATGTCCAAGTTGCGACGACAGACATCGTAGAGAGCCTCGTTGTCCAAGCAAAAGGTACAGTCCGTGTGTTCCAAAAGAGCATGGGTCGACAAGACAGAGTTGTATGGTTCTACAACAGCGGTCGAAACCATGGGAGACGGAGAGACAGCAAAGGAAAGCTTGGACTTGCGGCCATAGTCGACCGAGAGGCGCTCCAAAAGAAGAGATCCAAGACCAGATCCAGTTCCTCCTCCAGTGGCGTGAAAGACGAGGAATCCTTGAAGACCGGTACAGTTGTCAGCCAACTTGCGGATACGATCCAAGACAGTGTCAACAAGTTCCTTTCCAATGGTGTAGTGACCACGGGCGTAGTTGTTGGCTGCGTCTTCCTTTCCACTGATGATGGATTCGGGATGGTACAAGGATCCGTACTTGCCACTGCGGACTTCGTCACAGACAGTGGGTTCCAAATCGACATAGATGGAACGAGGCACGTGCTTGCCAGAGGGAGTTTCGGAGAAGAACGTGTTGAACGAATCATTGGCAATGCCGACCGAAGTGTCCGACGGCATCATACCATCTGGGTCGATTCCGTGCTCGAGGCAGTAGAGTTCCCAGCAAGAGTTTCCGGCTTGGATACCGGCTTGACCGAGGTGGACGGAGATGACTTCACGCATGTTTAGGTACTAGAGTAGAGTAGAGTAGAGTAGAGTAGAAATGTGTAGAGTTGAACAATAAAAAGAAAGGCCCTCGCGACAAGAGTTTTTCAAATGTATTGTGGGATGACATTGCGGCAGAGCTCCATGGTTGCAGCTGCGTTGGAAGACGACCAAGAGGAGGGTCCGCACGCAAGCACGCATCGCACTCACTCGTACCAGTATTATTTCTACGAGCCAGACATACACGGAGCGTGATCCTGTCATTTTTACAAACAAGTCTTCCGTTTGGTTACACACAAGCTGGTACTTTAAAGTCGTATGTAGGTACAAACTACCAGATTGGAAAAATCAAATTTTGGACCGGCGGGCGGGAAATGATTGATTGATAATTTGAATTGACTCCACCGATTGGAATATGGTCGAACGAGTCAAAATACATTGGTGGTGACGTGAGTGCGAGTGATGTGAGACGTGATCCACTCATCATCGCACTCCGACACCACGATTGAGATATTATACTGGTACAACAGCTGAACAGTATGAGACAAAGGTGCATAACATTGCCATTCATTCAGCTCACTTTATTGCGAGGTCAAATTTACAGCAACAATTACCCTCTAGTTAATGCTCTGTCTCTCAGCAGAAATGGTAGAAGAAAGTTTCGTAACATTCATCATCAACAACAACAACATCATAACATCCTTCTCCAACATTCAACCTCATATTATTCCACCACTACATCTTTGGCCATGAGCAACGATAGCAACGATAATAGCGCTAACAGCAGCAATCTTGCAAACATGGTTCAAGAACGCAAAGTTTGGTTGGAAGCTCACGGTGCCATGGAAGGCATTCAAGAAGGTGCCTACCAAATCAAAGCCGAATTAGTGGACCAACGCCATCTAGAAAACCTACAGCTGACTCCAAATTCCAAACTCATTCATTTTCAACGTCATGCACAAGGATATCACAATTTGATTTTTCGAATCTTGGAAGAAAATGGTTTGCCCATTACCGACATTTACAATCCAGATCCTGCTGTGAATCCCTTTGTCAAACCGGAAATTCGGGATTCGCCCCTGACGGAATTGGGACGGAGTCAATGTTTGGAACAACGCATCAAGGTTGAGAAATTGGGGATCAAGCCCGAATTGGTCATTGTATCTCCCATGCATCGGGCGCTATTGACGGCACTCTTGACTTTTTCACAACCACCAAGAGATCATGATACTACTCATAATGATACTCATAGTGATACTCATAATGAGAATGAGAATGATGCTGGTCCATCCTTTGTGGCCCACAGTGGATGCCGGGAAGAATTGGGAATCCTCACTTGCAATTGGAGACGTCCGCTCAGCGAGACACAAATTGAATTCCCGCAAGTGGACTTTGGATCACTCCTAGCAACGGAAGGAGACGAAGATTCCTTGTTTAATCTGACCGAACAAGAAAACCCGACGCATCAGTCCCAACGGATTTATGATTTTCTGGTGGACTACCTTCGGGTGCAACCCCAATCTGAAATTGCGGTGGTGGGTCATTCGGCCTGGCTCTTTACCATGTGCAATGCAGTCATTGATTGTGGTGACGACGAGGAATTGACATCGTGGTTTGGAACCTCGGAGATTCGTTCCATGATACTCACGTGGGAAACCACAAAACGAGGAGACGAATGATAAAGGCAGTGACGAGGACAAGAAGAAGAAGCAACACCAACAACAAGACTAAGTACACGAATGTATCTAGCAATGAATGAATGAGTCGGTCGAAAGTGTGCTGATCATATCGTCAAAGATGAAAACGCACAAAAGATATGAACCAAACTGAGGTTGGAAAGTGGCAACAAGGTCACACAAGGTTGGTTGACGACAAAAAAGTATCACTGCGAAAGGTACAGCCAGTTTTTTTTTAATGATCATTTATCGGGCAGTATGGCAATGGCTCATTCTCACGTCTTTGGGTGTGATCTATCGCTTCTGCTCTCGCGCAAGGCACAAGACTCCTCCTCTGGAAGGGAAGAAGCAAGGAATGAAGGAATCATCGGTAGTCAATAGAAAGAAGGGACACCTAAAGAATCAATTAGACGTGAAAGATGTGTTGGCCATTTTTTTGCGTGTTATATCGATCCATCTATTCGAAAACCTGGCTGCATTGCTTCATGTTCTTGATAGTACTTCTTCTTCTTCTTTTGCCTCGCTCATCCTACTCCGCTTTATCAATAGTGTCCAATGCATTGCATTATCGCTACACCACTTCTTCTCTCGCGAATAATAGGTTCTCTCACGACAGCTAGCCGTATCCACTTTACCACCCAGTGCGTCGACCACCAGTGGTCCACCCGGCATTAAGACCCCGGTGTCTAGCTCACAGAGATACCCTTCCTCTTCGGTAACATGTACAGACCAGCCTCCGTACTTCTCGCAATTGTCAGGTGGTGTTGTGCTTATTGCATGGAAGCTCGCCGAATTCCAACGCTTGCAAGTGTTTGTCTCCTCTTGTCTCCTGCGAACCACGAGTCTTCTTTAGCTTAGCTCATCGATTCCGTTGTACCCGTCCAGATAATCCTCGTACCGGTCCATGTCGTTACACGTGAGTCTCCCGTTTGTGTATAAGACGTGTACGTTCATAACCAACGTGCCATCATCACACATACTTACTCCTTGGTCGGTGCATGCTTGAACTTCTCTTTCGTAGTAGTCGGTGTTGGCGCATGTAACCGCTTCTGCTGGCACATTCCAAAGCTTGCTGAACTCTTCTTGTGTCAAAGCTGGAAACACATATCCGTCGTCCGTCCAACAAACATTCCCAGAATGATGTGTGACTTTCACGGTCCATGTGTCCATAAGTTCACACCTCTTCGGTTTCATAAAACTGTACACATAGTTGTCACATTCCAATTATGACAAAACCCTTGACCCCTGGTCTGGCCTACGGTACGCAATGTCGTATTAGTATACGGCTCGTCAGCAATCGTATATCGAAAGCTTCGTGCCATGCACAAATACATCAGGTGTGTCAACATCGCTACAGCCATTGTATTTCGTGTGTATCTGTTTGCTGTCTGTCAGTCAGACCAAAGTAGGAGCACTCTTCGAGCTTCTTATACCTCCTATAAGCGATATGCTTGTAACTGTTGAAAATTAAGCAGGACTAGTTAGGCGTCTGCAAGGTCAATACGATTCTTTTTTCTTTTTCTTTTTTTTTGGCGATGTTTAATCGGTGCTACAATTGGGATTGAATCAACAGAATGAGAGCATTGATTCAGACTACTCTAGGTTTCCGGTACTATTGTACAGGACTCTTACGAACAACATCGGCCCAAGACACCTTCTTCACTTCGGACGGACTATCATCAGCACTAACATAGTCCTCTCCTCCATCATGATTTCCAACACGCTCCTGTGATGATGATTCCTAAAGGGAATCAATGTGTTTGTATCCCAGAACCACATCTCGGAATTTTCTGAACAATTTGCCTTGTAGGGGTTTCGTAAAGAAATCCGCTAACATCTTCGCAGTCGGACAATATTGAACTTCGATACCCTCCGTCTTCAAACGATCCTTGATCCAGAAGTAACGATTGTCCATGTGCTTTGTTTTTTGCCTGCTTGACATTTTGCCGTTTCAATTTTGATCGCGCTCTGGTTATCTTGAAATAGAACATTTTCCATGAGTTTATGTCCCTGTTCTCCTAGGAACATCCGAGCCCATATCATGTTTGGTAAGAAATCACTCACTCCGACAATTTCGGCTTCGGTTGAGCTCTTAGTATTCAACTTTTGTTTTTGACATTTTGTGAGTAAGACCCCCCATCCAAAAGAAGTGCATCCGCCAGTATGGCTCTTGCAGTCGTCATGGATACCATAGGAGACGTCAACCCAAGATTTCATCCTTTTGATGTCTTCTTCCCCTAAAGTTCGAACTAGATCGATGGTTCCTCTGAGGTATTGTAATAGTCTTTTCAACTTTGTCCAGTCGTCTTCGTCTGGCGAATCAACTCTAGTACACAAAAAACCGATGGCAGTCTGTATATCAAGCCTGCACCTTCTTGAAACGTATAGCAAAGATTGCACCACGCTGTGAAAACAGTCGGCTTTCTTCTCATCGAGTTTCTGAGCATCTGGCCTTACATCAAATAGGTACCCCTTTGCTGGTGAAGCTGCGTTCCTAGTAATGTCTTTGTCAAAAGTGTTTATTGCTTTGAGAATATGTTTTTTCATGCCGATGGTCAATTTTCCCTTTTTATACTTGAGTTCCATGCCCAAAAATCATGTTTGTCCCCTCTCGTCTGTGACATGGGCCCAAACTTGCTTTCGATTTTCTTGATCACGTCATCAACCACTGTTGGGTTTGCGTGACTGATTTTGTTGTCATCCACATACCAGCATATGGTGCACTGTTTACCCTCAAAAATTCTATTCGCGACGCATAGATCATATGGATTCAAAGTGAAACCCATGTCTTTCAACGTTTCAGAGTACAACTCAAACCATAGCAAAGCAGATTGAACACACCCATACAAGGCTTTGTCCAACTGTACGTATAACACCTTTTTTCCTCTCTCCTCAACGACGAACTCCTTTAGAGTTTTGTCGATGTTGCAGAAAATATCCACCTCCGGTCCTGTGATTTTCATAATGACCTTGTCTTTCATTTTGGCGTGTAAGTACGCTCCCTTTACGTCTGCAATCGCCTTGTCTCTGTTTTCAATGACATCGATAATGCTTGTCAAAAGGGAAGCGTCAAGTGATACCGTTGGAGATGCCGTCTCTTCCTTTGAGTGTAGCCCGCGCTGTACTCTTCCGTCCATCACGCTTCTGGCTCTCAAAATAGGATTTTCTGGTGTGTGTCCTCTGTAGTGCGAATACTGATACGCACTGGAACAGACCATGGCTCGAGTATGACAACGCGGATGATGATGGTTATGCTGACGGAATCGATTCAGACTGGGTTATAAAAGCACAGAAATGTACCACTTCTTCACAGACACAACAAGCTCACGCGAAAATCACGGGTGTAGCGAGGGGGACCTTGCATGTGACAATGGGAACTTACACTGAGAAACTGAGTAACAATTGGTCTTGCTCAGGCGGGGTGTGTAGCACACTCATTGATAAACAGATATCAATATGGGTGGATCCAGGTGTACCGCAAACTAAGAGTGGACCTTTACAGCGGAATCTGTGCGGTTGCGGTTCGGTGCCAACCTGATGCAGGTTTCCTCCAATGTCAGGCCAGACTGAGCAAAAATTATCAGTGACGGCAAATAATAGTTAGTCTTTAGAGCGGTAAAGTTTTGGTGAGAGTAACAAAAGCGGCCCAGCAGCGCTGCGGTACGAACTTAGGGTCGATGGCACCTAGGGAGGTACAGCTGCCCTAGTCTAACTAACGAATAGACGGGACACGTGCCGACGTGTTTAAAGAAAACGAGTAGTTCAAACAATCAGGAACTATTCATTTTTAAAGTGTCGTCTCAAGCAAGGCGTCAACAAGACCATTTTCGGAAGGACTATCATCCAGTGAAGTGATGATGATGCGGCTGATGGATGTTGAGCCACTTGGACGAAGGAGCGTGTTAGATATTATATGCGGTATAATATTTGACTGAGGTTTTTGAGATTCCAGATTCCTTGGTGAAAGTGAATTGACGCGATGAAAAGAATTGTTCATTCTTTTCAGTAAACCATCTAGATTGATTGTTGTTGCAACTTTGATTGAGTGCAGAATAGTTGATACTATAGTTATGCTTCTAATGATCTTCTAAAGAGGTCGTTATAACCACCACAAAATATTGTTCTTGGCAACACTTTCGCTGGGCGCCCCATGTGCTGAAGAGCGACAAAGCTTGTGTGATGCATGGAGGTCAGCACAATTGAAATTGACGATGCACGCATTGTTGCACACATCCCCAATGCTGGCAACGTACAGAGATAAGATTGCCTCTTATACTGGCATCCTGCACGAAGAGGAGGAACCTGCACGATACGAAGCTACATCTCGTCACTTAGCTACATGGGGGATATAAAGCATTTTATGAAATGATATTCCTCGATTAAAATATGTATTGGCAGTACTACATTTTTCATTCATTCGTCGGGTACTTCATTAGTGCCATCTACAAGTCTGGCCTCCACCACGGTAAAGGTATAGTAGGATAATAGAAATACAGACAACTCGCATCTTTCAATCATCGGAATAGTCTGTTGACAACTCGGTACCGGTACCTCGTAGTATAGACAAACTAGCATTTGACCATGAACGCCCCAGAAAGATCATCGGCATTTCTTCTCGATGAAGATTCGGGAGAACAAAAGTGTGTGTACACTGCAGACACCAAGGTAAGTAAAACAAACAACCAGGTAATCCACATGGCGGTTTCTTGACCTTGGGAGGTGTGTGCACACATTCCATTTCGAACAACGATCTTACTTCTTCTTATCCCAAAATCTGATATTTATACATCATTAGGTAACCAACGCTGGTACCTTTCGTCTCAACAAGGAAGATCACACCGTCGGAAACCTGTTTCGCATGCAACTCTTGCGTGATCCCAACGTCCGCTTTGCTGGATACTACTGTCCACATCCTTTGGTCCACTTCATTAATTTAAAGATTCAAACCAATAACTCCACCGTGGCACCAGTTGAAGTATTGGGTTCGGCCATCGAAGATTTGGCAAACGAGACGGATCATTTGATTACCCAATTCCAAGAATCGATCGAAACCTGGAAAAGAGAGAACGATACCGAAATGACATCGCAATTTTAAAACGAAAACTTGCATGCACCTCAAGGTATGGGGTAGGACTAGTGGCTGTGTACCAATATAAATAATATCAAGAATAGTGCAATATTGATATTCATTGGTACCAGTAGAACATGAAGAGTACTTCAAAAACCCCACGGAGCTAAGTGACGAGATGCAGCCTCGTATCGTGCAAGTTCCTCCTCTTATACAGGATTCCAGCATACGATGCAATCTTATCTTTGTACGTTGCCAGCATCTCAGGCCCTTGATTAAGCATTGACAAATGGCAATTCAATTTCTCTGATGAAGGCCGCTTTGCTGATCCAATAAATTCACATTGGAAGGTTCGGCTTTCCATAAGTCTTTGCCGTACCTTTGTAGCAAAAGATACGAGGTAGTCAAAGGACTGTTCGTCGCCTTCCGCATACAACTCTAAAATCCGACCATCCCTACCGAATGCTGTCAACACGACGTCGTGGTCGAAAAATAGCTGGGTGGAGACATATTCAAGAATCCGTGCATCGACTGTCGAAGCCTGCGTTACAAAAACTTTGTCATTCTTCAGCAGTCCGGACGCCCAATGGAACTGATCCCAGGAACACTTTGTGGCGGTTCGAATTCTCTCCCTATCTTCACCGAAATGCAGTAGAAAAATCCATAACCCTCCACATTCTAACCAAGCTATAGCAACAGTTCGATCATGCCACATTTCTTCTCGTATCATTTGAGCTATGGCTCTACCTCTCTCATTGCTAAATTTCGAGCCTTTCAAATACTTTCGAATCGCACAAGCAACGAATTCGGGATGGTCCAGTTGGTAGGTATTTGGCACGACATCCAATGAATTGAAGGAGTTTCCTTCGGCGGCAGCATTCAAAATGTCTCGATCACCCCGAAGCTCTTCGGAGCAGTATTCCCAAAATCTTGCATTATGCTTGACTGCGTGAAGCATGAGACATTTGTCGTTTTGAAGGTCATTCACTGAATTCTCAAATATCAATCGATGCAAGAAATCTATGGCAGGGTACCTGGAACTTGTTTGCAATCAGGTCCATTACCACGTTGCGGTCGGTCAAAACCTCAGGGCATATGCGAACCACATCCCAAATGGCGTCCGTGTCAATATATTTACTCCTCACAAGTGGAGATGCGATTTGGAGATTGCTTTTCATACCCGGAGAGAGAGCTTCCCATAATCTTAAAACTTCCTCCGGTAGTTTCACAGCTGCTTTGGCAACAAAATTAGGATCGGACCGAAACACCTCTGGTATCATCGACCATTCCCAATTCTCATTAAAGAGGGCGAGCAAACAGAAATCTTCATCATCGTCTCAATGTTTGGCAAGACACAATTTGAGATCATCCGCAGAAAGTTCCGTGATGATGCTTTTAGCAAAATCCGTATTTTCCAATGAGAGCTCCGTTTCAAATCCAGCTGGCAGACAGTATCTCGATGCTTCGTTATAAAGTGCATCACAAGCTGCGACAATGATCTTCTCGTTTCGCCGAAGATCATCAGAACCATATTCATATTCATTCCATATTGTCGGACACAGCAGCTCATCACAACATCGAAATCGTTTCTCAGCCGATGAGATGCATACTTCAAAACTTGAATTTCATGGTCATCGTTGTAACTGTACATTGTGCCTTTTCTGTCATCACACTCGCTACTTGAAATGCGAAAATTGTCTACGGTATTGATAAAAAATGCTTTGTCACCTCGCAATCTTTCAGAACAATCCGTCATCCAAGAAAGATGACTATCTTGATGTTGGAATACAGCAAGCATAAGATCGGCCGCCGATCTTATATCTTTTGAGAAATGTTGCAACAGGTTTGAAGGCGATTTGTGATGCTTCAGAACAGACCGAAAACTGTCTTTGTCGTCCCTCCAGTGATCCGGCATATCCTCGACAACCAACAAGGGTTGGAGCTGGACGACTTCCAACATGATAGTTTTGTCGTTGCAAAGTGGGGGGAGGCACAACAAGTCCTGCATGGTATTGAAATGCTGTCTCAAAGTCCTCGTGACGAACTCTCGCCATGAGTATTTCTGGGTCGGTCCGAACGTGCGATGGAAAGACATCGTGATGAAAGGTCTTCAATTCGACAGGCAGCTTGTTGGATGACTTCAGAGCAGCCAGGATGAAGGCCTTGTCTTGTTTTTCACTCAACGATAGATTATTTCAGGTAGAAATGATATCAGATCCAGCATACCGCAGTTTTGCCAACTTGTAATACCTCTCTTGCTCAACGAGCAATTTGTTCAATTCTTGTTGCAAACTTCTTACTTGCCTCCTGTATTCCAGAATTTGTCGGCATGTTTTTTCATTGTCTTCAATTGAAGAGAAATACGAGAAATCTGGGTATAGCTGCTCTTCCTTTGAATCACTGTTGTCATGAGAAAAAGACTCTAGTGTCATATGAGGTAAGGCAACAACTGAATATCCGGTATGGATGATACAAAATATAAAAGTTGTGATAATGACAATAACATATTATTATAATACCCAGCCAAAAAAGAAGTCAAAGGAGTCGATAGTCACTAATGAAGTACGTGCGTGGTGGATGTTTTGTGTTTTATCCGTACCTGGTACACGTGTACCGGTATACCGGTATACACCGATAGTCTTCCGCTGTATTATATTACTATAAAACGAGGGATGCCGCTGCGCGCTACACCAACCTGGTAGCTACTGCGCCGTCGTCAAGGTCTTGAAAACCTTGTTCTTGCTGTCTACTTTCACTATTCCCCAACGCTCGAACGACAAGTAAAAAGGCAATGGTTTCGACAAAAAACAATCCGGATGATATCGTGAGAAGCAGATTGGTTTCTTCCGCCTGGAGCGAGTAGACAAACACTCCGACGTGTGCCACCTGGGCCAACGTGGCCAACATCCAAAAGAAATGGGGCGACGGAGCTTTTGTAGAAGAGATCATCTTCTGGTAGGAGAGATATGACCAGATCGGTAGAACAATGGCAGCGAAGAGGAGAATGAAATTCTTGACGGAAGCGAAGAATAGGTACAAGTAGAAAACGGAAAAGGCGGGGAGTACCAGTTGGCCATGACACCATGTTTTCTTCAATATGAGGACACGGGTCTCTTCGTCAATGCCCAACGAGTTGGCCGCAGAGTTGGAGGATCTCATATTGTTATGTTGTCCGACCCTGCAATACAGTATTTTTCCATGTTGCTGATGTTCTGAATGAATTGCGAAATAGGCAAGGCTGGCTCCAGATTTGTTGAGATTGTGTAGGAACTTTATTAGTGTTCAATGCTGCGGTCTGTATCTTCCAGAGGCAGACAGACAGTGGTACTTACGAGTACCGGTATAAAAATAAGGCAGTATAAAAGGTTTCAAACATTTGTTTCAAACATTTGTTTCAAACATTTATTTTATGTGTTGTTATACTGTACGCCATAAATACTGTATAATACTGCACAATACAAAAACTGTTGAAGTTATAGTTTCCAATGGTTTATTCTACAGGACCAGCGCCATAAAAGACAGTCGAAAGATCACAATTTGAATATATGGCAGCTGACATGACTACTACAACGTGATTGCTTCCTGCTGCATCTCCTTTTTGAGAGTCTGTGAAAAACAAACTCGTAGAACCAACGACACGTCAAGGCATATATTATGTGTCGAGGCATCCATGTCAACAAACGAATTGCAAAGAATCGAATCACCATGTCATTTCCGTGCATATTGATGGTCAAGGACAAATTCAGATCTAGACTATATCTCGCGATGGGACCTTGTGAGACGACGAAGCTTCGGGGAGTTGCATCATAGCTGATTGGGCAATGTCATTAGCCATTTTTAAATGTATTTCCAAGCTCAAAAATGGAGGCGGAGCCAGGACGGCACTGCCTCTTGGATATTACTATTCTTCATGTTGGGAGTCACAACACAATGGATACGATTTTGCATTTGACTAGTGTGCACCCATCAAAATCAAGCCATTCCGAGCACATGACATCCTTTTCATTGATGTCCCGGTTTTGGATGGTATCAACAAGGTTGATATCAACAAGGTTGATAATGCCATGTCGTTCGCTTCTCATGATACATCAGTTCGGCGCAAGATGGAAGCTATCCATGTGTTGTGACGTCACACAACCCATGGGCAATGAGGAAATCAAGCATACATACAGTACTGTAACTCGCTGCATCAAGGAGGTAGTGGAAGCATGATGGTGATGCGTTAAAGCTGTATCAAAGGATCTACTTGTCAACAACAATTTTTAAAATTGTGTGTCACCAAGACAATACGACAAACCATAATTTTGTCGACCCAACAAAACCTACTAGCAGCAACGAAGAAGACACAAGCGCAGATACGTATCTACCACAGATTTGTATCGGCAGTATCAAAAATGCCAAGAGATATCCCAAATGATACCAGCCTCCAGAGTTGGCTTTGTTTCAAAGACTGGCAACAGGCAACAGCCAAGCCAAGCAAGGACACGGTTGAATGAAATTATCCCCCGCTTGTTTCTTCCGCAACTGGCGGTTTGATTGAAGAGAGAAGCAATCAAGCCTTGACAGGGATATTGGGGATGATTGTGGCATCAAACTCTTGAAGACCCCAACCTGCCTATTCACAAAACATTTTGTTGTCATAAAAACTGTTCTGACAGCAATGTCTTTTCTATCAACTGTGATTATTGACAAAGGCAAAGCAGCATGGTAAATTTATCATTGTTGTATTGATGATGACGCTTTTGCAAACAAATCCTTGACTCACCAATGACGATGAAACAACGACGACGACGACAAAAGAGATTCAAGATTCAAGATTACCGACTATTTCAACGATCACTTGACTTGCAAAGCTGCAAAGAGAGCTGGTACTTTTGTTCTTTCTGATACTGGTAGATTCATTCTTGTACATGCTCCGGGACGTGAACAACAGGTGGACGTATTTGAAAAGGATATTCAGTGTTCATTGAGATGGACTCATCGGTGTATGTCTGGAGCAAACTTGAAGTACTGAGCAATCGAGCTGTGGCAGAAGGCATGTATAGGGCAGGCACCTTGATTGTTCGTAACATGCCAGTTGTGTCAACCACTGACCATGCAACATGTCCAATCCCTTCGATTTTCAGGCCGCTAGTAATTCCACGAAGCTTGAGTCCAAGAGGTGCTGGCTCAAGTTTTCCCACAAAGTCGTCCTTGTAAGGTGAGATTGAGGTTGTTGCACCTGAATCCCAGATTATTGGGTACCTTGCTATCTTAGCATCATCTGACATGTCTGATCTCAATTCATCTGAGTTCATTGCAGCACGAAAGCAGTTGATGACCTTGCTGAATCGTTGTGGAATATCGGCGTTCTTAAAGAAGGCTTTGGCTGCGGGAGAAGATAGAACGGCAACGTGGGCCATCGGGAGTCCGACAGCAACGGCAGGTCTGTAGATTTGTGGCATGTTTGGTCGGTGGCGACATGTCGTCCTTTGTCTGCGCGTCCGATCCGTTCTTGGAAATGTATTGAAATGGCGGAAGATGTCGTCACTTGGATTCAAGGAAGGGTTATGGCGATTGGAACGATGTCTGGAAGAGTCGTGGCGACAGGATCGAGGTCTGGGAGGATCAAAACGGAAGGCATCATCTTCACCTCGCTGGCGGGGACCTTGGTAGAAGGCCCAGTTTGGATTGCCAGGACGCCGACGCTGATGGTCACCACGGGGTGTTTCGCGGGAAGTGGTAGCATGAGGGGCACTAGGTTTGTTGTCGTTCATGTTTCTCCAACCGTCGTTTGTTCTCTGCCAATTGCTTTGATCATTGTGATTTCTCTGATGTCTTCTGTTGCTTCTCCAATTATCTCCCTCTCGACGGGAACGACGAAACGTGAGA